TGAATGACTTAGTTTAAAGGTGAATACAATATACAAAAACATATCTTGGTCAAGTATTGATTTCAATTATTACAGTTAAAGTTATAAGACCATTTTCTTGTCTTTTCATTCACTATAAGAATCTTTATGGAACACAGGTTTAATCACGTATAATACTGGTAATCCAAGAGTTTGTCGGGAATGTACCGGACCGAATCCTTGGACTGCAAAGATAAACAATAACCGCTGGTTATAGTCGCCTTATTGGCGCAGTGGTTAGAGCGTCTGCCCTAGAGATGCGAAGGAAGGAGTTACGTCGCGGGTTCGAATCCCAGTGCGGGACGTGGAGACCGGTCCTTTGGATGAGACTGAGGTCCCCTTGTTGTCAAAAGTGCTGGTACGAAAACAGATCCCTCCTTGTTCTATTCCCCACAGTGCCGGGCATAGATCAGAAATTGTAGCCCTCCACCTGCAGATGGCGGCGTCTCCATGTTAGTGAAAAATTCCCTAGGCGACGATAAACAATAGACAAAAAAATTCCTTTGTGTTAATCGCCCTCGTAGCGCAGTGGTTAGAGCGTCTTCTCCAGAATCGCGACGTGTGGAGTTGAGCTTTACATCGCGGGTTCGAATTCACTGCGGGACATGGGGACCGGTCCTTTGGATGAGACTGTATAAAACAACGTTCCGTTTTGCAGTATAGATGCTGGCACAAAAAAAGATTTCAAACTGCTCAGGGGCCGAGTGCTATGGCATCGGTCAGAAATTAAAGCCCTCCACCAGCAGTTGATGGCTTCTCCATTTGTGGAATTCCCGAAAAGGATGTTAAACAACAAACAAAAAAATCAACATTAACAATACGGCCATACAGTTCAACCTTAATTGTAACCTTGAAACAACAGGAATTAACTTAAATTTTCTACATATAAGGAAATTTGAAATATTTTATTACATGTATAATCAAATAAGTTTGGAAATTTTAATTTATGTAAATGTTGCTTTTTACAGTTTGGACTTTTTTATATTAATTACTGAAGTACGGAGGCAACCTCCGCAAGGTCATCCGGGTCATGTTGAATAACGATGAAAATTGTTTATGCCGAACTGCGTCAATTCTTCTTAAAATTACACTTAATTCCAATGACGACAATTTCGCTTCTTCATCAACGAGAGTTCAATCCCGTAATCGGAAGCCGTGACTCGGGGAGAAATTGACACTGACGAGGGAAGATTATAATTAAGAGAGATTTTCTTTATCTAATCAAGAACTGCTTGTTTCAAGAAGAGCATTCACATAGAATACTACAATGTGATTTATGCAAGGACAATGAAAAATGATGAAAATGATGAGATATTAAAGAAGATTTGAACTGGTCGAATTATGATCTTGATCCGCTCTTAATTATCATCTTGAAAAATGTTTATTAATTGTAATGAAGCCTCGTTAATGAGGGACTTCTATTTCTATTTTTCTCTTTTCTCCGGTTGAGATTTTGAAACTTGCGGTAAGTATACAGTCAGGTTTATAATTTTCAGGTTCATTTTGCAATATGACGAATTCATGATGGCAGTGTCCTAAGTCATATACATAAGTAAAAAGACAATTGATGCTTCAAAGTTCATTCCTCTATAATATTTTGCCAATGGAAGTTCACGAGAACACTCCTACCCCGCTTTTTTATGACAAGATTTTTAGCCCGAAAATTTTATGACAAGTATTGTTTTTGAATTGAAAAGATTCACGCAAATTAACTAGGTCCTAAATTAAGGAGGTTTCGATAAGCAAAGTACCGTTTGTACAACAAGAAAATAAAATGGAGATACGTTACCTTGCATGCGTATGATATTAAGGTTCATAAACCCTCTGCATCTTTTAAAAGGTACATTAGATTTTTCATCTATTTTTCTATTTAAAGGAAGACCAAAAGAAATCTGCGATTTTACTTCAAAAGAGAACTACAAGAACCTTTCAAATTTAAATCAAGTCTTTTTTTCATCGTAATGTACGATTTCTTTCCGAAAAATATCAAAACTTTTGTAAAATACGCTTCATAAAAAAAGGTTTGTTTTATTTACTTTAAGTTCCTTATTCGAGTGTCAATTTTGTATATAAAACGTTTTTGTGAATTCTTTTCATTGCAATGTTTACCTTTAATGCGTGTCAGTTCTCGTAAAGCATTTGCAGAGAGGTCCATTTAGTTAATTTATTGCCTGTTCATCAGGGGTTTCTGGTGATTTTCTGCTCGTATTATGGACAAAGAAAACAAATTTTTAAACTGACCCGAGGGATATACCATTATCTCACCAGGATGCGGGTCCCAGCAATCATTGGATATAATTAGGTGTTTTACATTAAACGTTTTGCAGTTTGGGTCACCTTAACATGAGAAAGTACGTGCAAGGAAATTTAGTACGAGATAATAGTGATAAGCTTTATCCCATTTTGAATCTCAATGTAAAATTTATTTTAAAATAGACAAATAAATATATACATAAGTTGAAGATGATATTTATTATTTAACGCCCTGCTCTACCACTTTCTTTATTTTCAGCCAAATCCAAATTTACCTGTACTTTACATTGCATAAAATTTGTTTAATTTCTATGAACACTCTTTTCCCGTCTAATAAAATTTTAAGGTTTAAATAGATGGATAACAATGAAATAAACCATTTTCCTTTTCGAATGGAATTATTTAAAGGGAAATACAATAAAAAGAAATTATTGAACACCAATGCATATCTTTACTTAACCTCATAGATTTCTACTTTCAGGAAGCTATATAAATCTCGACGTAAAATGCAAATTTACTCAACGGTCAAAGGCCACCTTAATCTGCTTCCACGCTGTTGTCATAGGCCACCTTAATCTGCCTCCATGCTGTTGTCAGTGCAATAGTTTAAGTCCCCAACCGTCTACACCCTTTTTATGTAACGTGCAACGACTGTAATTATTTATTCCAGCCTTCACCCACCCAGACCAACCTTGGGGTCGAACTAAGAACACCCATCCATCAAGTGCGTGAATCTACCATCTTAGTCATGGACTTTCTGTTTGAATTTGGTGTTAAATTTTTAGTGTCTAGTTTGGAGAATTTTTTTTGTAGAAATTAGAGATTTTGTATATAGTGTGTCGGAAATTTGTACAAAAATTAATTTTGAAAAAAGGGGGGGGGGATAAAAAATTGATAGAGAAAAAAATGAATCAATTCAAAAGAAAAACAGAACAAACAAAAAATAGACAAATAAATAAAAATAGGTTAAAAACTGAAAATGGAAAATGACAAAACAAAAAGTAAGGAAGAAAAAATCTTTTGAAAAATACAAAATACATTTCTGCATGACAATCATGTATAAAAATTGTATAACTCAGCGTGTTTCTACACTTATCTTTAATATTTCTTCTATACTGTCCTCTACAAAAAATTGAATTTTTTAATTAAAATTATTTTAATTGAAAAATTCAAATTTTCGGAGAGGACACTACTATATAATTTTCTTCTTTCTTTCTTTTCCGTAAAATGTAAAATCACTATATTATATCGAAATTTGAAAGAAAAAAAAACTCTTATAGTAATATAACATTTTCATGAAATTAAGATGAAATTTGAAATTGTAAAAGTGAAATAAAATTTTTGAAAAATATTGAAAAGAAATCGCAATATCAAGAAAAAGAAAGACAGAAGCATACAGTATTGACGTCTTATCGGAAGTTAAAACCCTCGCCCGCCCAACCCAACCTAGGGGCTGTTCGGCACTCCTCCATTCTTTTGCAAGAACACAAATAATACGACTTATCGAACAAAATTACAGCTTTCTCGCTTTCAATGTCTGTTCAGAGAAAAAGTCAATTTCTAGACCTGGCAAATTTTCAATGGAATCAGTTCAGCTCAACGTAAAATTAGGCTCGGTATACCGAATGAATAAAAGTACTGAAAAATCATGATTTTATATTTTTTGAATGATATTGAAATAAAATTGAAATAATTACAATGTACATTATATTTAAATAGTTTATTATTATAACATATATTTAAAAATCTGATTATTATTATATTAGGAAACTATGAAGAACGAACTTGATATTTTTTTTTATATTACACTACTTGACTTCTGTTTTGTTGGGGGTAACAAAACAAATGCAGATGGATTTATTTTTGAATTTATAGACAGAATTAATATGGTTGTAAATTTTTGAATATTGAACGATATATCCCGTTTAAAAACAATTTATACTCATTAAACCCATTTCCTGCTAGAAATGCATCTAGAACAGTATTCATCTTCAAACAGCCGGGAGTTTGATCTTATTTTTTGGTTAACTGTGTTTAAGTCAAAAGGTGTTTGTTCTGTCCTTATCCCCTAAACTTCATATTTACTTACCCAGTTTTATAATCGATTTCACAACTCCACAAGCACGTTTTATAATGAATCCAGGGCAATATTCTTCAAGAAATGTTTACACTAGAACGAGTCAAAAACCGCGTTTTATGTGTTTTTTAAATTGGATTTTGTCCTGTTCAAGTATTGATTCCCTTGAAAATGTCAAATAAAACGTTTTAAAAAAATGATTTTTAAATATGTAGTTGTCGGCCGAGAACAAATAGATTGAAAATTTTCAAAATTTATCCAACAAAAATCGCCACAAAAATATTCATCCTGAATAACAATACTATTGCTGTTGATATTTTCTTTTTCTTGCGGTTTTGGTCAGTTTATTTGGACAGAAATTAAATAAATATCTACGCATTTTTGTCGTATACTGTATATGTAATTGTACCTATAGTTTTCGAATTTTCATACTTTTTTACAATTATTATCAGCCTGTGTTATTTTTGTGAAAGAGAAATGGAATTAGCATTATCTTAATATCAAAAGAGGCGTTTGTAGTGCGATCATGCTGCGAAAAAGCGTCCGTGTGGTGTCAGATTTAGCGAGCATTTGATTGGCTCACACTACCTTAATTTCACGTTTTACGTCTGAAAAGAATCATCGCGGAGGGAGGGTGGGCGTTCCCGCGATCTGCTCTGTAGAGGACCCTTGGCCGATAGAGTGGTAAACACTTTAAAGAAACAGTATTTTCCTGGTAAAGAATGCAAACATTGACGGCCATTGAATTATTATGACATCGGGTGGAACTGGGGTAAGTTTCGTTATTTTTATCTGTACAATTATTATTGAGGAGGGCTTCCCCTCCGCTTCGAGTAAAAAAGAGTAAGAAATGGCATTTTAAGCATACAAAATCTAATTATTTAATTAAGAAAATGGAAACACACAGCGCTAAAGCATTTAGAAATTAACATTCTTATCCATGAAGCTAAAAAGATAAGTATATATTTTTTGTTTATATTTTGCGTTGCAGTGTGAATTAAGTTCCAATTTTTCTTGGGAATTTAATTTCTGCTGAAGGTTGAAAATTTAAAGTTTTGTCAAAATACCCAAAAAAGTAATACATATTTATCTCTAAAACTATATATTACTTTAATACAAAAAGACATTAATTTTCAATCTTTTAGGGAAATATTAATTTCATTTAATGCAATACTATATTACTGTAATATATTTGTTCCATTTTTTTTTTTGCACATCAATATTCTAATCTCATCCAAGACCCTTCTTTGGTAATGTGTCCAAATTGTCTGTTTCAACCTATTTCCGTCTCTGAACTCAATATTGGTAATGAAATCGACAGGACTTTCCACAGATTTAATGAATTCGACAGGACTTTCCATAGATTTAATGAAATCGACATTTCCCAGTGGAAATAGGAAAATGACATTAAGAAGCGCGGGAAAGGCTATAAATCTGTTATACTGATTAGTTAGAATGCTCGTTTATTGTTTCATTTCTTTCCGTTTGTAAAAGGTAAACACTTATCCCTTGTTAATCAATTTTTTGGTGAAACACTTTATTGCTCTTGATCTGCAATGAAAAACTGATATCCAGTGTCAGTTTGTTTAGATGCTATACAAGACAATTTACTGGGTGCATCTTTCGAAAGCATTATTTTATGCAATGAAAGAATATATGATGAAGAGAAACAGCCAATAGATGATATCATGTGTTGTATTTATTTACTGGAAAACATTTGTATTTATCATATTTTAAATGATCCATTAAAAAATTAGGATGAATATGGTAACAATTTTTTTTGATCCAGTTCCGTTGCAAGTAAAAATTGCAGATTAAATCTGACATTTTGAATAAACATCTTTAACGTATTTTTTCAAAAAACTATCAACTTTGAAATATAATTTATATCCGTACTACCAAAAATGATTCCGGAAAAAAGTTTCTACTTTCAGAAAAACCTCGTTTCATTTAGTTTTTAGAAATAATGCTACAATTCCTGAAATATAAAGCCTTTAATGATCTTATATTACACTTAATTGTGTCACATCATTTGCAATACCTGCATGAAAGCCGACAATTTGTTGTTTTATATTATTAGCGATCTGTATGGAAATGTATGAAACAAGCATTGTGTCATGTAATTTACTCTGCTCATTTTTTTTTTTTATTTTGTCTTTTCAGTTTTAAAACAAAAGGTAAATGATGCATTCTAATTTTCTTATTTTTAAATGCCAATAATAAAAAAAAAAACTGAAAAAAAAATTAAAGACACATGTACACATTTTGAGCGATAATTACTAAATACAACGAATGACAATAATAATTTTATACAGGTAACACTATACTTTATAAGGTAAAACGGAGAAGTAAACTCTAGGTGATTTCTTTCTAAAAGAATAAAATAAATGAATATACAGATATAAATAAGATTTACAAAGTTATTCAGGATATGAACAAATGCATTTGATCTAAATAAGTTTTTTTTTCATAGAAACTCTTTGCATATTACATGGAATATCACCTGCATGATTTTTAAAAGAAGAATTGAATATTTTTCTTAAAAATTAACTCTTTATGGCAAAGATCTTTTATAGTAGTTTGAGTAAAATAGCGCATGAAATATTCATCTATATCCTTAACACAAATATACTTTTTGACTTTTGGTTCTGAAAAGATTTCCCTAGTATAGGGTAGAATAGAAACACATAAACCAATGAAGAAAAAAAACGAAAGTGTCGTATGCGTATTGTAAAATTGAGATTTACTGATTGTCTAGGTATTTTGTTTCATATCGTTTGTTTTTGTGTTGTTTAACGTCCGTCTCAAGAATTTTTTACTCATGGAAACGCCACCACTTGCCGATGGAGAGCTGCAAATTTTTGTCCTATACTCGGCACTCAGGGCCATTAAGCAACGAGGGATCTTTTTCGTGCCAGCACCTACTGCGACACGGGACCTCATTTTTACGGTCTCATTCGAAGGACCGGTCTCCACGTCCCACAATAGGATTCGAACCTGCGACGTACATATAAGGATCAACTCCTAACTTCGCGACTCTAGAGCAGACGCTCTAACCACTGCGCCACGCGAGCGACATGTTTTAAATCGTAAAATTTCCATTAGGTACCACCTGGTACATGTAACTTCAAGTCTTCACGATACCAGAGCTTATATAAGTATTTTAACCATTCGATGCATCGATGCAGAATTCGTCACGTACCAGTTCTCGTGTATACCAATAAAAAGGGTGTTGCTAAAGCGCGGAACGGAAAACGGAACGGAAAGCGGAACGGAACGGAAAACGGAATATATTATTTTGGATTAAATCACTTAAAATACACAAATTTTATCATAAACGATATATCTTGTACATATTCAATCCACCACTATTAAATACAAGTTGATTTTGTCATGATAAGTCTCTTATTTACGAAAATCGCTAACACAGCAGTCACCTAGAATAGAATTTGAAAAAGGGGTGGGGGTGGGTAAACGAACTTGAAAAGTATTTGACAAGCAAAAACAAAAAGAGAAGACAATTGTTTGATTCAGGAGGGGGGATAAGTTCCAACTCCAACATCTTTCAGAACTATTTTTTTACACTAATTTACTACATTAATTACATTCACAAAAAGTGTGAGGATGTCAACTTGAACGAACATTTCCGTAGTAAAAAGGTTATGACTGGGGGAGCAAATATTTGATATCTAGATTGACCATGGAAAGAGGAATAAAATCAAAAAAAATATATATTAAGATATTACGTGTAGGGCAAACCTTTACGGCAAGCTCGAATTAACATCTCTTATATATACACTGGTTGTTAAAAATGTTATTCAATTAAAAGAGTCGCTTTCTATATATATAAATTCGATCTGGATAGACAAAGTTGGAAAACTTTCATGTGGTAGATATAATGCAGAATCTTTGCATTCAATGAAGTTAAATTTTGTTTGTTTGCGGTACATATGTGTGTGTGTGTTGGGAAGGGGGGAGGGTATATGAGTGACCGCGTAAAAAATGAGTTTGTTTTCCCGCTCATCGGAAAGGTCTGAGAGGTTGTAATCCTCATTGACAAGGGTTTGTGATTTCTCGAACTCGGGAGTTCGAGAAATCACAAACCCTTGACATTGTGAGGATGGTAATAGGTCTACACCCTTTTTTGTGTCCTAAATATACATAAGATTTAATAAATCAATTTTAAATGTGGCTGTGGGCCCCTACCCAGACCCGAAACTGTCACTCCCCATTTCATGATTCGCGAATTCGACACTGCGTGCATAATCTGAATATCATAACCAGTTATTTTTGTCTTTGCAGACATTGGCATTTGAAACAAATTGAAATGGGGGGGGGGGGGGTCATAAATTTCCAACATACAAAAAATTTGACATGAAAAAAAAAAACACAAAAAAAAACGGGGGTATATATGTCCTTTGCCGAAACACAAAATTCCTATTTTGTGTGTGTGTTGGGGAGGGAGGGGGGTCGAATTTCTTCCTGTTGAGAGGGGGGGGGCATCGCTTGTACACCAGTTCTGAACGGAGGGTGTGCATGACTCATGAATATATAACAGTTTACAATAAATTTTTATAAGAAATGAATTTTACACCAAGAATATTGCTCTTTTATCTGATTTATATCGAATTTATGTTAATTGTTTGACTAAAATTTTCCGTTTTCCGTTCCGTTCCGCTTTCCGTTCCGTTTTCCGTTCCGCGTTTTAGCAACACCCCAATAAAAATGATTTCTTTCACTAAATTCTTTGTTCTTTTTCAGAGATTTTCATTTAAAATTCAACACACATTATTATTACATTAACTGTAGGCATAATTCTTCCATTGTGATTTTTTATGAATTTATTTTTGTTATTTTACTAGATGACATAGCCAAAATCCTTTTAAATCATATACTGCATTCTCGAGACTCAAAATAACATTTTGTTTTCAATAATATATATATAAAGATTGCTATTTTTACTCAAGAATTTTAATAAATCAGGCGATTCTAAGACCCTGACAGGTGACGGTAACCAAACCCGACAAGCTGTAAAGGCACCTGAGACACGCAAACTGTACTTATTTCGTGACTTTCCGGCACTTAGGTCAGTGATCATAGACCCCAGTCAACCCTCCTCTCTTTGAACTGGGTAGAAACTGAAAAATTAGCCGCTAGTGGGAAGGTGATGGGGTAATCACGCTGAATAAATTCCCCTCCGTCTCAAAAAACAATCGGGGTCCTCAAGTTCAGGAGGGATGTTTTGATACCCTGCCCCTAATTTAACCAACATTTTGACAACCTCGCTATTATATTTCATTTATGAATGAAATTTGTGGGAGCATAAGGACGCAAAGAGGACCTCAATGTTATTCGGTAACACTTCGACATTTTCGGCAACATCGTAAGCAATATTTTGAAAGTAAGTTCGATAATTAAGTGTCATACTGCAAAGCACGAAATGTAGATTTTTGTCATAGCTAATCGTAAAATATGGCAAAATTAAGAAATCTGACTTCATAAAAATCAACAGATGTGTCGATTCAGATCGTTGGATGCTAATTATGAGGTATGCAGTGATAAAGCATTGGCCTCGCCGCAGAAAATCGATTATCACCGTTGCAGGCATTTAAAATATATTATTAAAATTACAAAGAAAATTTTGTCCATCATTCAAATGTTTTGAAACATCTAATGTCTCTTTTTCACCGCCGCCTTTCTAGAAGGGGGCAAGACGATTTTCTTTTTCAGATGTGATAGTGCTAATTTGTTACGTCTGATCGCAATTTAAATCATCTCAATGGCCTTATTCTATTATCAAAAAAGGAAGAAAAATGCAATTAATCCTTGTGAAAATCGAATAATTCCCGCTCGCTAAAGATTGTTGCAATTTAGCTGCAGAGTTATTATCAGCAAACTCTAGCAGGAGGCGTATTTTCTGCGGGACTACCTGAAATTCTAGCCTGGATACGAATTATGAGAACCACAAATCAAAAGTTGATTGTAGGCATTCATTCACGACAAACTCACCTGTCGTCTTATTGATCTCATTTTCCGTCAGATTTTTTTTTTCTCTGGAAGGAGACATAACCTATTATACTTATGACAACTTATCTGATAAAAGCGATACTCTAACAATAAATTCGAAAGCATATAATATAGCTCTTACATTATTATTAGTATCGTAACTTTTTCAAGAAAAAGAGATAAATTTTAGTTTTTCTAATACAGAACTTTAACGGTTTAAAATTCTGTGGAATGTCTACATACCGTTAACGTTTTGAAATACCGATAATTACCTGTTTAAGACATGCAAGATTGAAATAAATTGAATTTTAACTTCAAATGCTTTTGTCTGCTGAATAGGTCCATTTCTTATTTGTTCTTACTAAAATTGTCTTCTCTAAAAAAATATGTCCATATATTTATAGATTAAAATAAAGTTCACGTTTTAAAAGTGAAACCAAGAAAGATAATTAAAAATGTACATATAGTAAAATGGATTATAAACATTTTTGGCATTTGTGGTTATTTTCTCGTGAATTAACATCATGTTTCTAGTTCATTGCACCCGATCGCATATTGCACCGAGCCATAATTAGTTACCAGTTATGAAATCGAATTTACTTAGACCGCAAAAGGTGCGTAAATCGATCAGAGGTAAAAGCTTGCACCCAAAAACCTTAATCCGGAAAAGAGTTACGATTTTCACTTTTGTAAACACACTTTTACAATGAATTCTCCCATAAGCATTTCAATAGACGAGAACAACAGTTTTATACATTTCTGTCTGACGTTTCATCTATAGCTTATCCCAAAAATATTGATTAACTTATTTGGGTTTTGTTAAGTTTAATTTATTTTTAGTTTACTATAGTTTTCTTTTTCATTTACTCGATTATAAACAACTCGTTTAAAAGGAAATCTAGGGTATAGGGAAGCTTTACTAAGTCCCGGAAAAGATCTACCCTATGTTCCTTACAGCCAAAAATTTTATAAGGAAGCAAAATTCGAAGTACCTTTGACTTGATTTTGTTTTACTACACATACGATTCTTTGCCAAATTTTTATTATTAAGAAAGCAGAACGATATGAAAACAAATTGCAAACAGGAAAGCTTTGTTGATGCCACAAATTCTGATCTCGATTAACCTTTTGCATTGTATATAGGACATGTACCAGAATGTAGAACATTATTCCTATCTGTGTTATTTTCAGGAACTACTGGCTTATTCGGGCACCCCATTAGCGATGCTAGCAGCTCAATGTAACAAAATTACCAGCAAGAGCCCGCCCCCTCTGGCCGAAGCTGCTGTTGGAAAGGGATTCCATCCATGGAAGAAAATATCGCCTGGAGTTGTCCAGGCCCCATCGCCTTTGTCTTTTGCGGCCCAGAAAATGACTGGCCCTCATTTTGCATCAGGGTCACCTATAGGTTTAAGTAGAGTCTCTACACTACCCAGTACTTCAGTAAGTTGCGGAAATGACCTAATATATCAGTCTGCATCCTCGCAACAACAAATGGCAGATCCGAGTCAGTCTGCCTTGTTGCAAAAGATTCACAACGAGTCCACCTTTACATCCCAGTCTTTGGGAGGAATGTACCCGAGGGTTCCCGCAGTATCTGCTCATCCTTACGAATCATGGCCTTTCAGTGTTTCCGGCTCCGGTTCACACGGCTTAAAATCAGAGATGACGTCATCAGTCAATTCAACCTCTTCATGGTGGGACATTCATTCCTCTCCATCAAACTGGATTACGGACATTGCATCGAATTCCGGAAGTTTTCATTCCCAACTGCCTACAAACTACCCACCCTCAGAATATACGCTTGGGCACCCATCTTCCCTATTAGCAACAGGTCAAACTATTTTACAAGATTCATACAAATCTATCATACCGGGTCAAAGTGATCTCACTTCCGCCAATGTTTCGCCATTCTTGCCTCGCCCCTCTGTACCGGGAATATCTAGTCCACGATCGCAGCGCCGCTATACCGGAAGAGCTACATGCGAATGCCCAAATTGCCATGAAGCGGAACGACTTGGGCCAGCAGCAGCTCATCTCAGAAAGAAAAACATTCATAGTTGTCACATTCCCGGATGTGGAAAAGTTTACGGTAAAACCTCTCATCTTAAAGCTCACCTACGCTGGCATACCGGCGAAAGACCGTTCGTCTGTAATTGGCTTTTTTGCGGGAAAAGATTCACGCGGTCAGACGAACTTCAGCGCCATTTAAGGACACACACAGGCGAGAAAAGATTTGCTTGTCCGGTGTGTAACAAGAGATTCATGAGAAGTGATCACTTAGCTAAACATGTCAAGACTCATAGCGAGGGCAAAAAATCAGGAAGCGGGTCAGATTCAGAATCAGGTCAGGATCAAAAACCACAAATCGATATCAAACCTTCGGAAAGTGATTTGGCCATAAAAGATAGCGGAGAACTTCATTGATTTTACAAATAGGATAAAAAACTTTTTGAATTTTCAATACGTAATTTTTAAAAACATCGTGAATATTTATTTATAAATGTCAGATGTACAGAATTGTTATTTCGTCAAATGTTTGCTGTGAAATTAAAAATTTAACAAAATAAAAGACAAACAATTTTTGCAAAAGCGGTCGATGAATTTCAAAGACTAAAATGAGGGGAATATTTTCTCTATTATTGATGGGACCCTTTCAACGAAGCTTCAATGGATTTTTTTCTTGAAAAAAAAAATCTGAGTAATTATAGGTTTGATCGTGGCTTCTCTGAGAAAAAAAGAATGTGAGAAAAATTAAGATTTTTCAAAAGGTTGCCAGTATCCCAAAAGAATGATTGTCTTCTTTTCAACTCACGGGAAAATTTTGTTCTATGTTTGAATTGTCGTATATTGTTATATATGAAAACATGTTGTCAAATAAATGAAAAACGACGTTTTTGTCTATTCTGTATGCTTTCTTATATATTTTGAATACAAGTATACGCATGTACAAAAGAAATATGAAGGAAAAATCCCATCACTTGGTAGTGATTTTCACGTGTACCAGTTTTACTGAACATATGCTTTCAAGTGCATGTTTAATCATATGAATATAGATCTACTTGTATTCATACATTCCTCATGCGCAATTGTTGCTAGAAGATGCATTATGAAAAGGATAAAACATTCCTATTTCGGATTATTTTCGTAAAATAATATTGAAATTCAAGGGCTAAATAAGTTTTTTTGTAGCTAATTTTATGATACAAACTGATATTTACAATACAAGTATTCCTTTCAAATAAAAATTTTCCAAATTTCTATTGAAATTACCATTAAAAAATATTTTATCATATATACATTTGTAAACTTGAATTTTAGTTTTAAAATTAGTTAGTTGAACGTTGAAATAATCCGGTAAAAAGAAAAAAAACAACATACGCTTCTGATTTAAATTTTACTGTACTTAAAAATCCAGCTAATTGTTCGTGTACCTCATCAAAGATAATGAACTTGACGCAGAAGAAAGTAAGGAACTTGTTGATTGTTGCCACTAACAAAGTAAACGATAGCAAAATTACTTTTGTTCATTGAAGATTTTATAACTTAAAGATTTGAAATCTGATAATCTATCACTTAGCTGTGGTTTAAAAGGTCTGAGAAACATTAATTCGTACTTTTTTGTCTGAGTACACATCTTAGGAAGGGATATCTCTGTGTTAGAAGAAAAAAGACCAAATTATATTCTCTTATTTCCGTAATCTACTTATGTTGGATAATATACAGTAATAAATTAAACTGGTTTCCTCAAGTTAAAGTTAAAAAAGCTACATTTTAAAGTTCTTTGCAAACATATGATACATTTGTTCTGTTGCATCTACTTTTTTAAAAGTCATTTTCATTTTAGACTTTAGACATCTCTTTTATATAAGAAAAAAACCTATTTATTTATATTATAATTCGATATTGTTATAAACTTAATTATCGAAAGCTAGTGCATTAAAGGGGCTGGGTGGTTGTAGCCATTTTTAGACTATTTTGATCTCCTTTAGAAGAAGAGCTCCATATAAAGATATAACAAAATGATAAAATTTTAAAACTAAAATTTATGAAATTTGTCTTTGCCAAATGATAGTTGACATCTTAAGATATCATATCCCAAAATTTAAGTTATATCTGGTGGTTAATAAAAGAATAATTTGTTGACCCCCTAGCCTCCTTAAAAATGCAATTCGGCGATGTTAATTAACTAGTTTTCAGAGGAAACTGTTCACAAGCTCTGTATAGTTCTCGGACTCTCTAAATAGTAGTAGGGCAATGCGATACAAAATTTACAATATCGAAGAGTTCATGGTTCTGATGGCTAATTTATGCACTGTTTATATGCATTATCGAGATAAATTCAATTCTTTTGTTTCTTATCAGATTTAAAGATATGGAATCTAATATAAGTAGGGATTCAAAGACTTTTTATAGTTCATACAATTGTCTAAACTGCATAAAAACCGTATTGCAACTTCTGTGGCACTTCAGGAATTGAAATAAAACAGGTGTCGGCTGATTATCGATTTGTTAAGTTAATACACAATTATCAATCTCCTCATGATGGCGATTAACTTCAAACACTTAAAGGTCATTCGTTTCCTCGCGGGTGTAAGGGGTCCTAGGGATTTGATTGCCCCTTATGTCACTTGATTTTCTTTAGCGATCAAGAAAACTTTGTTGAAGACTTGAAAAACTGACCACTACACCACAGAGGAAAGTCATTAATCGACGGTCACCATCTTTTACGAGGTATTTTTCTTTTGTGTTCCGTTGTTTGCTGGGCTCGTGCCCCAGGGGCGGATAATTAGAGTCGACTAAGGGTTCGGACAACTGCGGTCATCCGTTCGCGAGATGCAGACGAGAAATCTCTAAATCGAATCAGAAAGGTATTGTTCAGAAAAAAGTGCCAGATCCAAAAACAACGCAGTGGGGCATATGTATGTTCCCACGTTGAACAAAAAGAGATACCATCATTTCTATCCCAATCATCACACTTTATCAGAATAATTTACCGCTGATAATCATACATAAATAGTTACTGTAGAGTTAAAGACTTGGGAAAGGAAAGGCTTTATTTCTTTGTCGGGTTGCAGTGATAATTATGTATTCTATGTAAGCAATCTTCACTGTATGATCATTTTACTAATTGACAGACCTATCTTATCCTGTCACTTGGTTTTTTCTTCACTGCATACAAAACGACGTCCTGAAAGAAGACTGGATTAGCTGTAGGTCAGTAGCACTATACGACAACGTCATAAACAAAGGGTTTCAAATTTTGTTTTGTGACTCAAAAAAAAAATGATGAAGAACTTTGAAGAATATTTGGTTAAATTGCCCACAGTTTTACTTTGTATGAGCCACGAAAAAAGGAAATGGAACTTGAAAAGTTTTAGAACTCAGTATTTTTCCCCCAAAACAATATTCCAGTATGTTGTGATCTTAGTCAATTCAAAAAGACGGTCAGCAGCTTCGAATGATAATCGGTATTTTTTATTGCTAATATCTTTCTAAGCTTTCCTGTCTAAGATCTGAGGGCCAAAATAAAAAAGAAAACACAAACACTACATTACAGAGTATTTTAAACTTCTTATATAACACAAAACTTATCCTTGAAATGAAGCTTAAATATTATTTGATTTTCATATTCTATATATTATAGAATTTAATCTCCTAGATTTTTTTGTTTTTTTTTCTGCATGATAATTATTTGAATTCGATGAACGAATTATGTTCATCTTTGTTTTCTGTTAAAAAAACATTTATACATTTAATCACTCTTATTTGACCCATCTTTCTTTGAAACATCATTCGAAACCATTCGTTTTATTAACAATAAAAGAAAAATTGAAAGAATGGTCTTAGGATGACCTCCCTTCCGGTCATATGACACCAAGGGGCCGTTACTCTGTCATAAGTCGATGGCCGTCTTTGTCATGATAAATCACTAATACGAACCAAACACCGGAAACCATTTATTGTTATTTATGGGTAAACGATTATGTCCAAAAGATAGGATATTGGGTATTGTAACATTTAATGAAAATGTCCACATAGCTGATGAATCGAAAAAAATAAAACTGTACTATAGTGGTGGTCTTCAGGGATTGATATTAACAGCACGTTATTTATTTCTTGCTTGTACTCACAAAGTGATTACTAAAACTCGTTTTGTATCTTTGTCTTATTTCTTCGTCCTCTATATATAGTTTATCACAAAATATGATTTTATTTAGTGAATTTGAGAAACAAAATCGGGGAAAATAAAAATGAACCCAAGCTAGAATTAATACACATTTTAGGCGCATTAAAATCGGGAAATTCTTATTGATAAAGCTTTTTTTCATAACACATAGCAGATAATAAATTTTCGTTTTCTAGGATTATATTTTTGACCTGTTGGACCTCAAAACCTTTAACTGTCAGCGTGTTGCTGCTATAAAGTGACCTAACTCTGACCTAAAGCTGCTACTTAAGAACGTGTGTCCTTTCAGCAATCTACGCCTGTGTGTGTCTGGGAGGGTAGGGGGCGGTATGGGGAGGGAGGGGGTGTTTGGGGGCTGACCAAGAAAACAAAACTAAGAAGTGCGAAGTAAACACACTATTTAATCTCAATCCTATGGGAAGATTATGTACATAATTAGAGTTTTGTCGCAAACAAATTGGCATTCTTGCTTGCCGTTAAGGTATCATTTTGCCTACAGTTTCTTCGAGAATTACCCTATTCCCACGATTCGGAATGGTTTATAAATGATATATAGTTTCCATATTAATTCGGTGCTCTTTCAGAGTTTTGGCGATATTTTTCTCCGCTGCAAAGCAATACCATAGCCGACAACATTACAAAAGATCCCAGGAAACAAATCGTTAATTTCATTGTTGTCGAAATACATATCCCAAATTAACTTTGGTGGTAAAGACCTATAAAAGGAGCTTGAGTCTCTCGCAGGACTTAATGATAATTAAACGGTTTGTCACAGAATAACAAGCCTGATCGTTCGTCTTTGGTCCGAATAGAATTACAGTGAATGGTTGACAGACTGATTAGTACCCTGATCTCAGACCCTATGATTACTCCAGATACCCGATCCACCCACGTGCAGGGGGCGGGGTCCAGAAGCAGGTGACGGTAGAGGGGGATTCTCAAAGACAAGGCAAGAACCAAATTAGCTCCAAAACAAAGTATGGAGTTTGCAACATTTTTTGAATGGCGAGCACCACGGCTTGTCGATTTGTCGTCGTCACTGGCGGCTCTGCAACACATGCTATCGCAGAATGGGGTGCCCACTGAAGCATTCTTCATGCAACATTGTTTTGATAGAATTATTTTTTATAATCTGATCATGATTTAAGCACACAGATTATGCTTCTAGATATTGATTGAGTTCATTAACTTAATCTGATGTCAAACAATTTCAGGATTAGTTCATCTTAAAATGTTAGACTTTGTTTATATGCCTTAAATAATGTTTGCGGTATTCTTGTTATATATAGATATAAAATTGTTTTTTTTTAATTAAGTATTTTTAAAATAAATAAATAAATAAATAAATAAGCTGAGAGGGAAAATAAATTGTGCGTTTTATTTTCATTAAAGATATATATGAAGTCTAATTTTTGCTATTACATTTATACAATATACATGTACCATGATGTGGTTTCTTAAACTAGAGCTTTGAAATTATACACAATATATATTCCATGTTTAGGAATCATAGCATCACTTTAATTTGATCGTTAAATTAGCTGTGGTATTTTTATTCTCTCTGTGATCGGTCAACGTATACTTAAATAGCCATTCCTCTAAGTTTTCAATTTTAATAGTCACCTTTTGCTCTGAAATCAAACAAGTGGATACCATAAAATGGAGGAATTTTCCAGTTT